GGGTCACCCTGTCTTAGTCCTCTTTTAGCCTGGAAGAAATCCTTTGCTACCCCATTCATCAGAATAGAAAAATGTGCTGAGCTAATACATTCTTTAATCCACATCGTCCATCTTTCACCTAGCCCCATCTTTCCATTAAATTCAACAGGAAGGACCAATCCACCATATCTTAAGCTTTTTCAAGGTCCAATTTACAAATCAAACCTTTGTCACCTTGTTTTCTCTAAGCTGCCACACACTCATTTGCCACTAAAATTTGATCCACAATTTGTCTCCCCTTTACAAAAGCTCCTTGGTTCTGAGAGATAATATAGGGCAGTACAGTCTTCAACCTACCAGCCAAGACTTTAGCAATGATTTTATACAAGCTACCCACAAGACTTATCGATCTGTAATCCTTCGGGGTTTTGACCTCCTTTTTTGGCACTAAAGCAACAAAAGTTGCATTTGCTCCAGGCGATAGTTTCCCTTCTTGATAGAACTTCACAAATACATCCATTAATTCATCTTTCAAAATTTCCCAACAATCCTGATAGAAAGCCATTGAAAATCCATCTGGCCCCGGTGCTTTAGATCTATCCATCGAGAATATTGCTTCATGTATGACCTCAATAGTGAAGGCTCTTTCTAGGAGGTTAGCTTCAGATTCTAGCACTCTGTCCCACTGTAAATCTCCCAATTCTGCCATGTTTTCATTAGAGGATGCTAGGATTGACTTAAAGTGATCCACAAAGCATCTTTCAATTTCCTCTTTTGCAATTATCACTCTTCCATCCACCTCTATATTGGAAATTTGGTTTTTCCGTCTTCTCCCATTTGCTAGAGAGTGGAAAAAACTGTTCCTTCCTATCCTCCAACCCCTCACTACTCCTTCCAAGTCTGCCTTAGAGATCAAACTACTGAAAACATCTCCAACTAGGGTAAAGAGGAAGGGGGAAGGGGGTCACCTTGCCTTAACTGTCTAAAAGCTAGGAAGAAATCCTTGACTACCCCATTAACCAAGACCGAAAAATGGCATGAACTTATACAGCCCTTTATCTAGTTACACCCAAGGTTCAAAGTATCGATACGATACGCCCCGTATCGGGCGTATCGTATCCTATCTTTTGAATACGATATGGTCCGAAATGCCTGTTTCGAGGTGTTTCAGACCCCCAATTTTTTTTTTAATAATAAAAAACAGGTTATAAACTTTCCAAAAAACCAAACTTTGAAAAAAAAAAACTAAAAAGAAATAGAGTTTCGGCCGTTTCTAAGTGCCGATACAATATGACCGAAACTTGTACCGTATCGATACTTTGAACCTTAGTTACACCATCTAACTCCAAACCCACAACACCGTAGGACCTCTAATAAGAACTCTAATTCACAAGATCGTAGGCCTTTTCTAAATCCAGCTTACAAACAAAACCTTGCTTTCCGGACTTTCTCATATCCTCCACACATCCATTAGCTATTAGAATCTGATCTGTTATTTGTCTCCCTTGCACAAATGCTCCCTGGGCTTGACTAATGATGGAGGGTAGCACTACTTTAATCCTCAAAGATAACACTTTAGCCAGGATTTTGTAAATGCTAGTCACCAAACTAATCGGCCTAAAATCTTTTGGATTTTTTGCTTCTTTCTTCTTAGGGATTAGGGCTATGAAAGTAGCATTAACTCTAGGGCTTACTTTGTTATTATCCTCAAATTCCTTAAACACAGCACACAGGTCTTCTCTTACCACATTCCAGCAATCTTGATAAAAAGCCATGGTGAAGCCATTTGGCTCAGGGGCTTTGGATCTGTCCATTGAAAACACTGCATGCCTAATTTCCTCTTCTTCAAAACTTCTCTCTAACTAGATTGCTTGCTCTTTAGACAGCCTAGCCCAATCTAGACCTTCCATCCTTAGTCTATTATTCAATGGCTTCCCTGCAATTGATTTAAAGTGATCCACCAACACTTTGGCTATCTCATTTTGATTTGTGACTTCCTCCCCATCCACTTCTAATTTGACCACACAGTTTTTTCATCTCCTCCCATTAGCTAACGCATGGAAAAATTTTGTATTGCCGTCCCTTTCTTTAATCCATTTGTGTCTTCCTGTATTTCAGTTTTAAATTATCTTTAAAGAAAGTTACCGTTTCTGATAAAAAAAGTGGATCATGGATAGGGCCAATAAGAAAACAGAAACTTGTGAGAAAACCATCTATTATAAAAATCAAACCTCAATTTTTTTTTTTTTTTGTCATTAACAGAGGAAATTCTGTTAGGTAAGTATAGAAAAGGTATATGAATTGGATCAGATGCCCTACATTATTTCATGTTATCATGTAAACTGTAAAAGACACCTCTCTGTACAACTATATAAATGTTGAATAAATCATCTTGTCTACTAACCATGTCATTCCTATTCCACACCTATCTGCACTGCAAGGTGTGGAATAGAAGGGGACTCCAAGGTGGTAGTGGGCTGGCTACAAAACCCGGACTCTATAGTGTGGTGCTTTAGGAATGAAATTTAAAAATTCAACTGCCTGACAAGGAGCTTGACAGTGAGAATACAATGGGTGGGGAGATCAGCAAACTCAATGGCTGATGGTCTTGCAAAGCAAGGGGTAAACAGGGAAAGTTTGTATTGGGCTCAACTGTAGACTGAATCTGTTTTCTATCTTTTGCTTTTTTTTCCTGCTGTTAGGAGAGGATGCAGCTCATGCCTATCCATAGGAAGCTTGTAACTGCATTAGTTTTCTATTAATGAAATTTATCTTATTTATCAAAAAAAACCATGTCATCCTATTTCCTTGGGATATCTTTTTTGATCAGTTTCCCTGCTAGAGACCAGTCAATGTGCAAAACACCATTATCTGTGGGATGTGAGCACTGGAGATTCTGGGTTTCCTCTCTTTGCAGACTCTCCTATGCAAAGATACAAAAGACCATGTAATAGAACCCCTATCACTGATAGAGATGGGCAACTACTCAAACACCTCAAGGATGCCTGGGAGAAGGTCCAGTCACTTGAAAGAATGATAGGAGAAAGCATCATGCAAAGTGGAAACCTATTATCACCACTTTTTTCATCATTTTCCTGAATCATTGTAAGCAAGGATAATGGTATTCCATGAATCAACAGATTGTAGAATGGTCTTACTTGAAGCTACCCTTAGATCTTTCAGCCACATTCTCATGTCTTCATTTCCTACTTCAGTTGGAAGCAAGGTGACATGGTAATTCTTTTGGATGACCAATATAAAGTCTCCTTTGTTGGGTCTCGTCGATAATTGTTGGCTATCTCATTGAGCTTCTGAAATAATGGGAACTCATAAAGGAGAAAAAAGTTTGTGTAGGCAACTATTTTTAACTGCTTCAGCAATGGAAATCTCCCACATTAACTGTTTCTTTTCTTGGAGATGTTTCAGCATTTCTCTACTAATGATATCATCTAGAAATGGCAAAATGTAACATATTCATCTTCAGCAAGAGTGCCTATAATTAGATCTTGTTCCCCTTCAGCCATGAATTGTATTAAATTATACTTTGATTGTTGCAGTTTGGGCAATCTGAAGATATCAGTTATTGTTGGATATCAGCGATGAATTATATTAGTGTTGTTTTCTGGTGCTATTTGGAATTGGGAATTCATTATAGCAGTATAGAAGAGGTTAGGGAAGTTCTTACATTTCAACAATATGGTGATAGAAGGAGACTCCAAAGTAGTACTGAGATGGTTCAAGCAGAACGGTACAAACCATGTCTTTACAGGTATAATATAAGAAGAAGAGACTATCTAAAGAATTCAGGGTATCTTTTGCCTGGACATATAGGTCAGCCAATTGTTTGGCTAATAAGCTGGCAAGACAAGGGGCAAAAAGAAACCATTTCTATTGGGAGGGGGTGATTACCAAAGGATGAAGTGTTTAATTATTTGAAAGAAAGAGAACTTTGGGATATGTAGCAATGCTAGCCCATTTCAAGGGATGCTAGGCACATTTTTTGTATGCTTATTATTCTTTCAATTTTTCTTAATTAGTAACTGATCAGAAAATGTTTCTTTTCATTTTACAAGTGTGTGGACTGCTGTTTTAAATAGCTGACACTTGATGTGATGTTTGTTTGATAGTTGATGGTTATGATTGCTTTCACTATTACCGTGTTAATTGAGACAAAGAATTCATGCATGTAAAATTGTGAATTGAGAATCTTGAAACATTTTGAAGGGAATATCTACAGCCAAAATATCAACCTGAGCGGAACTACAGTGGTCCATTGTCATACTGTCACAAAAAGGATACAAATGTTCCTACATCTGGTATGTTCTATAATATCTTTTCTTATTTATATTTCTTAATTTTTTCAAATTTATTAATGATTTTTCTCAGTATTTTCCCTTTTATGGTAATTATTTATATTCTGTGGCACACTATTTTGGTGGTGTTGCATCCCTACTTATAGTGGAGGACACATCAGGAGGAATGGTTGTCCAACATAAGGGGCGTTTCAAAGTCACACAAGCAGATCTCAGTCCTAAGGTATACTGCATGAACTTCTGTAACACAGCAACTCAAAGAATAAATACTGCTTTGATGGGAACTACACAATTTTGTTATTGTTTAGAGAGGACTTACAAGTAGCTCCAAATAGTGACAAGGTGAGGGCAGCTTGACTGGGATGATTTGGTTATAAGCATAGATGATTGCACCGGGGAAGAGTGACTTGGCTCTAAAAGAGAAAGGAGAAGAACAATGAAAATATTGCCTGAAGTGGTAAAAAATGATCCGAGGGTTTACAATTTGACAGAAAACATTGCCTCTTGATACAGCAAAATGGCAGGACAGGATTCATCTACACAATCCCAAATATTTGGGATTAAGGCTGAGTGATTTAAGTTCTAGTTGCCGTTGAAACTGAGACAATCCCCCTTCCCCACTCCAAACTAAAGGACAATGCTTCCTATGCGAAAGATACAAGCTGGTGGTTAGCTATACAGAAGGACAAACAAGCTAATACATTGAAATGTGGAACATTAAAAATATTCCACCATTATTGGTGTAGAAAAATTACTTGATCCCAATAAATTCTTTAATAGTATAGCACCAAATAAAATATTCCACTGTGGTTTCTGAAGCAAAAATAATGGATCCCTTTAAATTCCTTACGAATAGAGGACCAAGGGAAAAATCTATAAATTCTGGTTTTTAAAGTGTCTCCTCAGGTACTGCTATTGTGACATGCTGGGATTTCAAAGGACACCATTTGTAGTGAAAAGTGCTATTCAATTTGTTACATTTTTCTTTTTCAGTGACTGGTAGGAGAGTTTTGTTTGAAAATTATAGAAATAGAAAAGGAAATAAGTTCTAGTATTGGGAACCTGACAGCATTTGGTATTGGTGGGATTGTAAGAGATCATGGAACAAGGTTCAAAGTATTGACACGTATCGGCCGATACGTATCGTTCCGGGACCCCTCCGATACGCCCCTACAGTGGGCGTATTAGGGGTCTGACCGGTTCAGGGTGTGGAGGAGGCCTAAACTGGCTCCCCTGAACCAGTTGCAAAAAAAGAAATAAAAAAAGAGTACCAAAAGCTGTATCGATTTGCCCGATACGCCCATACCGGCGTATCGATATTTTGAACCTTGTCATGGAAGTACCACATTACTCAACTATTCAGAACCCATTGGACACAGCAATTCAATGATGACTGAGATTGTGGCACTAAGAGAAGGATTAAAATTAATAATATCTCCCTTTTTGTACACTGTTGGAAGGGAATGTCTCCCTTTTTAATATAAAATCTTGCTTATAAAAAAAAACAGTTAATAATTTCTTAAGGGTTGACAGGAATCATCATTAAATGGGATTGGCAAGTTCTCATTAATTGGATGAAACAAGAAGAAATTCTATGGAGATTCTGACCATTGATAAGACAAGTGCAGATTTTAGGTCGCAATCTGAATAGCTCATTGAGATGGGTTCCTACTTCCTAGGTCTGCAAATGTTGTGGCTGATTCTCTTATTTGGAGACAACCTGGACCAAAGACTGTAAATTCTACATGGAATATTTCGTTACTGCTTTTTCTGCTGCATTGCTTTGTAATTATTATCTTATCCACTATCCATATCTTGGGGTAGTACCTTCGGGTGATTGAATGAAATGCTGTTTTTTTTCAAAAAAAAAAAAGGAAAAATAAGAGATTGTTTAAACAATTCCCAAAATAGTTGATATACTAGCTAGCCCACTGCCACTCTCCTAAGTAACAAGATGCAGCCCTAAGCACCCAAAAAACAGTCACTAGAAAGATCCATGTATACTTGGATTACCTGGATTCACAAGGATACAACTTTTTTTCGGGAATTATCAAATGCTTAGTATATATATGCTTGTATTGATGTACAAAAAGGGGACAAAAGAGAAAATCCCTTTACAAAAGCTTTACATTATATGATCCTCTACACTCAAAACAGATGATCAACTAAAAAGAAACACTCCTGTTTTGAAAGTGATGGAGCCCTTTAAATCCAAAGTCCTACATACGATCCTACACTTAAAACAACTGACCAATTGAACAGACACTCCCTTTTTTTGAGGAGTGTTGAAATCTTTCAAAGACAAGGCCCTGTTTGATAGGAAACTGCATGCATTTAAAGATGTGCAAGTAGGAAATCTTTCTATTCTATAAAAATTATGCGAATTTCTTTTCTTCCAAATGGTCCAACATATGACAAAAGGTACCATATCCTCCTTGAGATCCCAAAGGACAAGGAGGCCAAGTATGAATAATACCATATCCTCCTTGAGATCCCAAAGGAATGCGTGGAATCCAGGCTAACCTAAGTTACCTCAAACAAGAATGAGAAGTACCAGGTACCAGAAGATAAAGGGAAACCTAGGAAAAGGTGTTTGACAGATTTCTCAAATTCTTTTGATAAGCAGACAAACATTGGGTATCAGAACATCCCTATGGTTTTAAAGCTCTGTTACCAGAACCTTGTTAACAAAGACCAGTCACATAAAGGCCTCAAGTCTGGGGGGGACTACCTGAGGCCTCTCAAGCAAGGGCCACATAGAAGCCTCTGGTAGAAAACATCCCATTTGGTTCTTCCTTCCAAGTGTTTCATCCTACTATTCATGCCAAATAAGACTATTTTCTTGCTTTTGAAATGTGAAACATATTCATCAATTTATTTATATGGGAGATGACTTCTGAACTTGGGACTCCTTCCAATCTTCTCACCTTTAATGGGAAAGAAGTCACTAATCACCTTTCCCAGTTAGCATTTGTAAGGGTGCCCCATATAGACAGGGAAAGATAAGAGCTTAAAATTCCTAAAGAACTCCAATTTTCCTCCCAAAATCCGACTCAGTGTCATTACGAAGCTTGAATTCAGTCAATACAACAAGTTCAATAATCTTATATAATAACTTTTCAAAAGCTAACACCGTATATCAAAGTATCCACTCTAGAGGCTTACAGATGGTAAAGTTCACCATATTTAGCAGCAATTGTCCTCCTAAGATCAACATCTTCTCTAGGAAACTTCCAAAGCCATTTCCTGATAACTTTTTTATTCTATTTTTGAAAAGTAAGGTATTTGTATTTAATGTGTAAGAAGGATTATTCATTATTTACAAAAGTAGGTTGACCCTTGTTAGGCTAGGAAAGCTAATAACCCCATCTATTGTACCTGGATACTTGAATAAAGGTGCTGTATTTTGTCAAATACTTAAATTTTTAGTACAAATTTTTGTATTTGATACTTGCCCATCTGTGTCCTTATTTGGGTAACATAGAACCCCATGGCTGTCAGCTTACATGCAGCATGAAGTAATTATCCCCAGTGCAAGTTTTACCTGTTTATCGCCTGTTTTGTAAATGAACCAGCTAAGCCATTTTCTGATCTTTGGACCCAATGAAAAGTATCAACCACCTCTCTTGCCAAATTTTTTGTTTTTTGTTTTTTGATGAATAACTGATTACTTCATTGAATTTAAAAGAAAGTGTACAAGAGAAAGTGGGAAAGAGACAAGCCCTCTTATCTCTCCCCTTAGACTTTAATTATAATTAAAAATTACATTTGTGCCCAAAATGTTTGAATTCTCCCAACCCCTTGCTTGGCTAGTGCATCAGCCATCGAATTAGCTGTTCTTTTCACTCACTGTATTCTCAGTTCCATGTCCTTTGTGATCCATCTGAATTTTTTTCTTCTCATTATTGTATTCCCTCAATGTGTTCCAGTGTTGCCCTAGTCATTAGCTTTCATTTCTTAATACCCTACTACTACTACTACTACTACTACTACTACTACTACTACTACTACTACTACTACTACTACTACTACCTTGGAATTTTTCCACCACTATATTTCTGAAACTCAAAGGTTTGCCCAGACTCAACCCTTATTAGGTAGCTACCGGTACAAGTCCTGTAGAATTTCAACACCTATGGGTCCTCAATAAACTCTGCTCCCCATAGCTGATCCTGAAGACATCTCCTATGCCAGAATTGCTTGTGCCACACGGCCCACACCTGTCAAACTTTTGCTTGATTTGATTCAAAGCTGGTGGACACCATTCCTTTTGGAGCTGAATTGCCACCCTCTAAAGATATCATCCTTGGTGAATGGTGCAGACACCTCTAATGTTTTTATCCAATGCAGCACCTTTATTGAGATGTTTTTAATGATGGAATCCTTAGGTTGTTTCATTTCATTGAAGATTGCTAACCAGAACATTCTTAATTAATGATTAGAATGCAGAGTGGAGGCATGGGGCAAACCAATAAGATCTGCTGACATGTGTAAGCATCACATCAACCTATGAGGCTTAAGGCTCTTGAGATCTTAATATTTCAAGAAACCAGAATTGAAAAAAAAAAAAAAGAAAGTGCACAGCTATACTATACAAAACCATGAGTACAGACATAAGAGAAATGAGTTACTCCTTATGTAAGCAAGGACTACAACATGGAATAACTTGCTCGCAAATCATTTTAGACTATTAGAAATATCTTTATGCGGCTAAACTTCAAGGTGTTGAAAGCTCTAAATACTAGTATAAATTAAAAGCACATACCTTAAAAATCTTTGAATTGATTTTTAGTTTGTTCTTTTGATGAGAACCCTTCTTCTTTTATTGTATAAAAGACATCTTGACATAAAGCACCTGAAGATGTAATTATCACCTGTGCATTATTTTTTAGGTGTGACCTTCAAGGTTCAACCTCAAGGTGTTCTCCTTAAGCTTTGGCTAAAGACGAGCCTAAAGGCATAAATCTCCCTGCCTTCTAAACCATGTTTTTTAGTAAGTGTGATTCATCCATCTGGCGTTGTCGTGGTGGATTGTTTTCAAAGACCATCCTAGCATACCCTTGCCGATTTGACACTACACTCACGTTACACGTCATTTTTTGGAGAATGCACTGCATGGGCACTAAAAGACAAATCAGGATCCATGATCATGAAAGTTTGGCAAAAATTTTGGTGCCAGCTTCCAATCTAATGCAACCCATCTTTATTTGGGTTTGGGACTGGTGGTGCAAGACAAGCTCACACTGGTGGAGTTAAAGTTGAACTTAAAGTATATGCAAGCTTTTCTTTTTCTTTTACTTTTTTGGTAAGCAAACATATTCAAGCTTTTCAGTCCCTCCCCAGACCCCGCATTGGCAAGGGCCTCATACACTAGGCTGCCCTTTTTAAGCATATTCAAACCTTGATAGCATAATCTATGGATAAGCATGGATATGCTTATATAATTTCTTGTAAGGCATCTGTTGCTTATCTAAGTGGACTTGGTAATAATTCATAATATGACTTTTTACACATTGAAGAAAGAAAACTGCTAGTTTGCATTCTTTGCTGCATTTATTTGAAATTGGGTCTGTTGAAGACTGAATTATCTTAGACCTCAGTTTGATTTCATTGACCATTCAAGTTTTTAATTAATTGTAGAACTAGTTATGTATCTTAGCCTATTAATTGTTCCAGGCTCCACACTTATATTTTCTTTTTCTCCTGCTAATCACCTTATTTGGTCATCCATCATGGTTATGTGATAGCCTTGCAATGTATTTGTTAGTTGTTACATCTGGCATGCTAACAATAAGAATGGAACTTAGCATTTTATCTTTCAGGCAATGACTTACCATTGCCAACTTTGTTTCTCATTCAGGCTGCTCCTGCAAATTGCTCAACCAACCAGGTCTGTGGAGGTTCAGCAATTCCTTCAACTTCCACAGTCGCAGTTGCATCAATTCTTCCATCACTGCAATATATATTGCAACAGAATGCCATGCAAAGGGTGTGTATTAAAAAGCTTGTTCCCTTGTCATATATGTAATCTGCAGTTGATCATGTCCTTTTTTTGGTAATGCTGACAGGAACAAATAATTAAATTGATAAAATGTTTGGAGCAAACCTCTGGTAATTCCTGTGACATATGTAATTCAATTATTCATGTTAGTCACCCTTAATGGGGTGACACTGTTGTTTTTTATGCTTATATTTTTCCTCCTTGTAGGACATTATCACATGGAATTTGCTGATTCCTGTACAAGAGACCTGTCACAGGTATCTGCTGCCCTTCTGGCTTTGTAAACTACAATATCCATTTCTACTATTATAATTATGAAGCTCAAATATGCATATAATTGTTGACTAAGATCACTGGTTCAAATATTGTTTGATCAATTGTCTTAATTTGTAAATGAAATGCTGATATGCTGTAAATTCATATTACTTTGTTATATTGGCCGTAATAATTGATCTTGTCAGACTTGGAGAGGAAGGCAGTCGGATTGGTCTTTGTTACCCCACTGACATGTGTTAATATGTGCTATATCCTCCAATGATGTAGAATGGCTTTAAAAGATAATCTAGAACCATTATCCTTTTTTTATCTTTTTATTCTTTTCATATTCTTTATTTGACTGAGTTGAATGATTGAACCTTTCAACTTGTAACCAAGTCACAAAAAATGGTTCGTTGACCAGTCCATGTCTGACAATTTTGTTAATAATGTTAGATCATGTATTATACAGACTTTGCATGTCTGTTGGCCTGTATTGTTGGAGTATAACATTGCCCTGAAGATTGTAAGATAAAGAAGATTGTGGTACAATCTAGTTATATCATTGTCTAAATGATATTCCATACCCTTGTTGGAAAAAAAAAAGATTTTTCATACCTAAAGTTTTGAGTTTTCTACTTTGGCTAGGACTTTGTTGGTTGTGTTAGAGAACTTAGAGTCTAGGCTTGGCTATAAGGAGCTTCCATACTGTCTTAAAGTTTTCACATAAATTGTGTGATGCCCTTTTATTAATCTTAGTGTAGAGAGAATGGGCCAAATGGCCCATAGGCTGTTCTCATTTCTTTATGTTCCTATTCTTTTTGTTAATGGGCCTTTTATGTTTCTTGTTTAATTGAGTTAGTCGCCCAATTAAGGGCCTACTGCCAACTTCTTCTTCTTCTTCTCTCTTTGCTGATGATATCTACCCTTTTTCACACTTTCTAAATCAGTCCTCTCATTCTTTTGGACTGTTTTTCTTCTTGGTATTAGAGCGGGCTCCTTTCTTTTTCATTTCTTTTTCTTTTTTTTTTCCCCATACATAGTGTATGGACAGATGAATCGAATGAGTGATTGAAGAAAGTATTCAGCCCTGTTGTTAGTGGTTTTTTGGAGAAAAGGATGCTGTCTTGGCCATTATTCTGACAGTCCTTGGAGTTTTTTGCCCAAAACCCTAATCAATTGGAGAATTCTGATTGCGGACCCCATAGGGAGCTTCACCTTGGCGCTCAATGACTGAAGGGGTTCTTTTTCTTTATTTTGAAGAGAGCAGGAGGTTATATGTAAGCAGTGAAGAGAGCAGGAGGTTGGTCCATGTTCAAGGGACTATCCCAAGTGTCCATTTAGCTAATATGGGGCTGAAACCTAAGGTGACTACAGGTAGTTCAGGTGGTTCAGGGAAGGAGGTTATATGTAAGTATTGCAAGAAACCTAAACATACAAAAGACAAATGTTGGAAACTGCATCCCGAACTTCTTCCACCTCGTTTTCAAAAGAATGTTGATAATGAGAAGTCAGGAAGTGCCAACATAGCCACAGTCTCAGATAATGACAAGTGTTTCATAGATGAGAGGACTGTTAGTGAGCAGTTAGCTGTTATGAAGCCAGAGTATGAGAAGTATGAGAGGATGATCAGCCACCTTGAGAGTGCAGCCTCTTCCTTCAACTCTTCAGGCAATCCAATTACTTCTGCATTTGCACATTCAGGTATACGTGCTACTGCCAATCATGCAACTATCTCAGGTAATCGTAAGATCCCTTGGATTGTTGATTCTAGTGCTTCTGATCATATGACCAGCCTTTCCACTTTGTTTAGCTCTTATGATTTGCTTCCTGATCGTGATAAGATTACCCTAGCCGATGGTTCACTTGCTCCTATCTCTGGCAAGGGAGTCATCAAGGCTACAGACTCTCTTTCTCTTTCTTCTATCCTTTATGTCCCTAGACTGAATACTAATTTATTGTCAGTGAGTAGCCTAACTAAATCCTTAAATTGCAGTGTAACCTTCTTCCCTTCTTATTGTGTTTTTTAGGACTTGAAGTCTCAAAAAGTGATTGGGAGTGGCCATGAGGCGAATGGAATATATCTGCTGGATACTCCTGGACAAAGCCAAGGACAACATGGAAGAGCTACTTTTGGATCTACTTCTTCAAAGTCTTTTAGTCGTGCCATGTTATGTCATTTTCGTTTGGGTCATTTATCTTTTCCTGCTTTAAGTTATTTATTCCTAGAATTGTTTAAGGGAATTAACTTGTCTAGCCTTCACTGTGAGTCTTGTGAGTTGTCAAAACATTGTAGAAACAATTATCCTTTGAGTAATAAAAGATCATCTTTTCCTTTTCATATTGTGCACTTTGATGTGTGGGGGGCCATACCACTTACCCTCTATGGGAGGTTATAGATACTTTATCTTGTTCATTGACGATTTCTCACAATATACTTGGTTATTTTTTATAAGATCTCAAGATGAAGTTCCCAAGCTTGTGAGGCAGTTCTATGAATTTGTTCTTACTCAGTTTGATACAAGAATCATGATTTAGATCCGATAATGCAAAAGAATATTTTGCATTATCTCATGACTTTGGGGTTATTCCCTAGAGTTCTTGTGTTCGTACCCCGGAACAAAATGGAGTAGCTGAGAGGAAGAACCATCACATAGTTGAAGTTGCAAGAAGTATTTTATTTGCCTCACATGTTCCTACAAGATTCTATGGGAGGATGTTGTTCCCATTGCTACCTACTAATCAACCGTATGCCATCCAGAGTGTTGGGTTTCAAGTCCCCTTTTAACCTCCTTTATCCAGATAAGGACCTCTTTTCTATTCCCCTTCGTGTCTTTGGCTGCACTTGTTATGTAGACATTTCTAGTACCTAGAGACATAAGTTTGAACCAAAGGCCCATAAGTGCATCTTTCTTAGTTATGCCTCCACACAGAGGGGTTATTGTTGTTTTGATCCTAGCACTGGGACTCACTATGTTTCAATGGATGTTACCTTTGTTGAGTTCACTCCTTTCTATGGTTCATCTCGAGAGGAGTATTGCTCACAGGGGGAGCATTTGTCACAATTGTTTGCACTCCCCCTTCCTGTCCCTGTTGAGTCTCCACTTGAGTCTTCTTTTGTTCTTGATGAATCAAGGGGGGGAACAATCATCTTCTGCTCCTTCCAATATTCTTGTTCCTCCTCCATTACCTCCTCGTCCCCTTTTTAATCACAAGCAGTACTAGCAGCAAAGGACCAGGAGTGAGTAGATTGTTTCCTCTATATTACATGAGCCTCCTACACTTCTAGTTGCTGAAGAGACAACAAGTACTGATACCACCCCCTTGCAGCCTCCCTTCCCAGATCTTGATGTCCCTATTGCTATTAGGAAAGGTAAACAGAAGTGTACTGCACATTGCATTTCCAAATATCTTTCCTATGGTCTTTTTTCTCCTTCATATTATACCTTCCTTTCTTTTGTTGCTTCTAACCCTATACCCAAGTCTGTATCAGAAGCTCTTACTATTCCAGAATGGAGGGATGCTATGAGAACTAAAATAAAGGCTTTGCACAAGAATGACACATGGGAAGTGGTCGATTTGCCTAAAGGGAAGGAGCCAGTGGGCTGTAAGTGGGTGTATACTATCAAATATCATGCTGATGGCTCTATTGAGAGGTACAAAGCGGGATTGGTTGCAAAAGGCTATACACAAACTTATGGGATTGACTATCTGGAGACTTTTGCTCCTGTTGCAAAGATGATATCTGTGTGGGTTTTGCTATCTTTGGCAACTCATTCAGACTGGCCTCTTTATCAGCTGGATATGAAAAATGAATTCTTGAATGGAGAACTACATGAGGAAGTTTATACGTCCCTCCTACTAGGAATGTATGGCACAGACATGGAGGGAAAAGTGTGCAAGTTGAAGAAGTCTCTCTATGGGCTCAAACAATCGCCTAGGGCATGGTTTGAAAGGTTTAGGGCTGCTCTTGTTAACTTTGGCTACATTCAGACTCAGTTTGATCATACCCTCTTTGTGAAGAGGAGAGGTTCATTGGTGGTATATCTCATAGTTTATGTTGATGATATTGTAGTGACTGGCACTGATGTGCCAAGGATTGATGATCTTAAATCCTTCCTTTATACAGAGTTTGAGATCAAAGATCTGGGGGAGTTGAGGTATTTCCTTGGTATTGAAGTGGTTCGGTCTAAGGATGGAATATTTATCTCTCAGCACAAGTATGTGCTAGACTTGTTCACTGAAACAGGCAAAATAGGTGCAAGACCAGTGGCTACTCCTATTGATACGAGTCACAAACTTTCCGCCTTTGATGGTGAACTGTTGAAGGATAAGGGAGTATTTCAAAGGTTACTAGGGAAACCACTATATCTTTGTATGACTCGGCCCGACATTGCATATGTTGTTAGTTGCATTAGCCAGTTCGTGCATGCTCCCAGCGACACTCATATGGCAGCAGCAAAACGAATTTTTTGTTACTTGAAGAGCACTCCTAGGAAGGGCATTCTTTTTGCTATGCATGGTCATATGAAACTGGAGGCATATACAGATGCTGACTGGGTAGGCAACATTGATGATAGGAGATCAACTTCGGGATACTGTAGCATGGTGGCAAGTAATATTGTTTCTTGGAGAAGCAAGAAACAATCTGTTGTTGCTAGATCTTCAATTGAGGCCGAGTATATGGCTATGGCTCATGGGGTTTCTAAGTTACTTTGGCTTTGATCCCTGATGGAGGAACTAGGTGTTGAGTATGATAAGCCATTGATGCTATATTGTGATAATCAAGCCACCATCAACATTGCCCACAATCCAGTGCAACATGATAGGACTAAGCATATTGAAGTTGACAGGCATTTCATTAGAGAAAGAGTGGCTTCTGGAGAAGTTTGTCTACCATTCATTACATCTGAAGAACAGTTAGCTGACATTCTTACCAAGGGAATCTCCAAGGCCAAGATACAACATGACACTGGCAAGCTGGGCATGGTCGATATCTATGCTCAGCTTGAGGGGGAGTGTAGAGAGAATGGGCTGAATGGCCCATAGGCTGTTCTCATTTCTTTATGTTCCTATTCTTTTTGTTAATGGGCCTTTTATGTTTCTTTATGTTTCTTGTTTAATTAAGTTAGTCACCCAATTAAGGGCCTACTTGTAATTACAGAAACTTTGTAATTATTATTATTTTTTGATCAATAACACTTTCATTAAATCATCAGTAGAAAATTTACAGGAGGAAGACAAACACACTTATCTTCCAAGAGCCACTAAGAGCCTCATAAAAGGAAGAAAAAAGAAGAAAAAGAGAAAAGAGAAAAGGATATACTAAAGTTACAGCTTAGCC